GCATCGTGCAAGGGCATTTAGTATCTTCGGCAAGCATTTTTACTGCTGAATTGTATGCCATTCTTGCAGCACATTCGTATTGCATCTATGCCTGTGTCATCATTTGTGCTTGTCTCAGACTCCTTTAGTGCTCTACAGGCTATACCTCACCCCCTAGTTCTCGGCATCCAACTTTGGCTACTCCGTATCTCTACAAAGCATTAAGATAGTTTTTTGTTGGGTCCCTGGTCATGTTGATGTACAGGGCAATAAACAGGCAGACACTGCTGTGCGGTCAGCAGTTCATGACCTATCAATTTCATATGGAGGCGTTTCATTTCCAGACTATTTTGCTATAATAGCTACCCACCTTCACACCCATTGGCAACAACGTTGGTCTGCTCTGCTCAATAACAAACTTTGTTCTATTAAACTGAGTATAGGTTAATGGCCGTCTTCTTGTCACCAGTGTCGAGGTTGGGAGACTACTCTCTCCCACCTTCGCATTGGCCATACTCGTCTTACTCATGGATATCTCATGGATATCTCATGGATATCTCATGGATATCTCATGGATATCTCATGGATATCTCATGGATATCTCATGGATATCTCATGGATATCTCATGGATATCTCATGGATATCTCATGGATATCTCATGGATATCTCATGGATATCTCATGGATATCTCATGGATATCTCATGGATATCTCATGGATATCTCATGGATATCTCATGGATATCTCATGGATATCTCATGGATATCTCATGGATATCTCATGGATATCTCATGGATATCTCATGGATATCTCATGGATATCTCATGGATATCTCATGGATATCTCATGGATATCTCATGGATATCTCATGGATATCTCATGGATATCTCATGGATATCTCATGGATATCTCATGGATATCTCATGGATATCTCATGGATATCTCATGGATATCTCATGGATATCTCATGGATATCTCATGGATATCTCATGGATATCTCATGGATATCTCATGGATATCTCATGGATATCTCATGGATATCTCATGGATATCTCATGGATATCTCATGGATATCTCATGGATATCTCATGGATATCTCATGGATATCTCATGGATATCTCATGGATATCTCATGGAAAGGCGCCCTGCTCCTCTGTGAATTGTCAGGTTCCATTATCGGTCAGCCACATTGTTAGACTGCCCACCGTATCAACTAGCACGCAGAATTGACCTCCAGCATCGTCTTCGCTCCACTGCTCTCTCTCTACCTTCCCTTCTCGCTGATGGACCCACCTTTCATCCGGACTGACAACTGACTTACTCCACAAACTATTATTATTATCAAAAAGAAGCGTTAAGCCACAAGAGCTATACAGCGCCACAAACTGATACCTTCAGCCCTTTCTACCTCGATCTTCTCCTACCCTCTTCCCCTGCCCCGCTGTTTTCTGTAACCTAATCATCCCTTCCCCCTTCTGCTGCCCGATACCCTCGCTTCCTTCTCTACTCTGCAGCACTATATAGCCCTTGTGGCTTAATGCTTCTTTTTGATTATATGCTTAGTGGCCCAATGGGAAACACGGTTTACAACATTCTGAAGTGAATCTGCTACTAGGAGACAGTCAGCGCCTAGTCAACAGTGACAGGTAAGTATTAGATGGGATAACAGAGACCAGATCATTTATATCAAGAAGAAAGATGCTAAGAAAACATCCCTGGGGGACACCTTCAGTTAGGACAAATTAACCCGAACACTGAAATATCTCAAGCTTTTAAGGAAAAGTGGCAGATTACCTCTGAGGCCTAAGGAATGAGCCTTTTCAAGGTTAAGGCTGCAATAGCCGAGTTGTTACTAACAAAGGCATTACGAAAATAATTATCTAAGCGGAGTAAAGGGTCAATAGTAGACGGACCTCATGAAAGTCAAATTGACAAGTGGACGGGCAATTGTCTAAATACCACTCCAAACCTACATTTACTAGACCTTGCAAACTGCACTGGTAGGAGCAATGGGACGATAGTGGGAGGCATCATTGCACTAAGTACTTGGTTTATGAAACAGCAGAACTGCACTTTTCCACAGCTGGGGAAGAACCCCCTGCGACCATACAAGATTAAAAAGACCTAAGAGGACTGTGCGGAAGGATGGATGCAAATACGAAAGAATATGAATGCCATTAGGTCCAGCTGCCGACGATCGTCAAGCGGAAAAGGTTGACTCAAGAAGCGTAAAATGTATATAAGACTTCCCTGCTTAAAGAAAAATCTAAAGGCAGTAACTCTGGCGGGCTTTGAGGAAAGAAACGAGGAGCATGGATGGAGCCCTTGGGAGATACGGACATTAGCTAGATGATTCCAATTTCTGTGCCAGAGACTAGCTATACTGACACTAGCAAACCCTAAAACCAGGTGGGTCAATGGAGAATATTTTCACGTGGGAGCACCCGCCTTTGGACGGTTTATAAATCAAGGAGTTGCTCTGTGGTCCTACCTCAGGTTTGAGGGACTGTATTAGAAGCTGCTGTTAGACAAACAGTTAACAGCTCAGCAGTAAAAATGCCCAATTCGCTGTCAACTGACAACGGGTACGAGATGGCGAGAATAGCGAAGAGATAAGAAAATGATCTCTGTATGTTAGAATGATCAAGGTCCGATTAGAAGTGATCAAGGTCCAGGACGAAACGTTTCTAATAAATGTGTATAGTGTTTGTTTACGTTCTTCAACACAATGCATAAATTGTTAGAAAACATTAGCGTAGGAGACAAATTAACTCTTAGCTTGAGATCTTTATGAAAAAATTGAAGACATATGTTACATCACTTGTAGAACGAGACATAGAGTAGATGACTTCCAATTTCAGTGGCAAGGAGTATTATAAAAGACTTAATGCTTGACACTCATCTCCCTAAAAAACCACGCAGTACTGGTCTGAATAGTAAGTTTTAGATTTAGGACAAGGACATAGGAACGTATGGTTTGGAAATAGGGAGTTGATTGAGTGGACGTCCTACCTAGTTGGTTATTGAGGCTAGACTTTGGTAGTTTCAAATTTTTGGATAAGTAACATGATGGGAGGGTTGGATTTGAAGTGGGACTTTCACATCAGAGCTTATTTCTTGGGTAGATTGAAAATTGGGTGGGCAAACTGTTAGATGTAGTGGATGAATTGTAAAGGACTCCTAGTATGGGCCAACAGGCCTCCTGCAGTGTTCTCCTTCTTATGTTCTATGTAAATCAGGGGGCACTGACCAGATAGAGTAGTGCGCAGATGAAGAGCGAATTGAAAGATCTATGGAAAAGACTGCATGCTAGAGTCGAAATGAGTGGAAGAACCTGTATTTAAAACATGGAGGGGAAGAATGAGACCCTCCCCAGTGGAAAAGATAAGCATTGAAATTTAATAGACGAGGTAGGGAAAAAATCAGATGCCACATCCAGAATAGATGATGGCCGAGATGTAGAAATATGAACAGATTGTATACTACTTGTCCAGGTACATGCTGCAGTGTAATGCAGCGAAGTATGGACAAGGACTCGAGAATATGGTAGACCGTGGCGCACAGGAAGTGCACATTCATTAAACGCCATGGCACAGGAGAAGCCAACTTCTTCTAAGACAACGGATCTTCCTTTCTCTTAAGAAAATCTGGCAATAACGAGAGTAGACCGGGTGCGCCTATTTGCAGTTCAGACAAGAGGGAGGGTGGCTGCAAGATGGACTGCTAGGGTCAGCAGCACCGCAGACAGAACACTGTCTCTGACCTGCAATACTTTGCAGGGTGGTCGAAGCGCCAGCATTTTCAACATTACGTAAAGAGATGGTGGCAGTTCACGGCTGTCAAAAGTTAGCCTCGCTATATTGCAGGGATAGACACCACCGCCCGCGCAGGCAGGCAGGCAGGCAGGCAGGGGTAACACCTCCGACCGCAGGCAGGGATAACACTTCCCCCCCCGAGGGCAGGAATAACACCACCGCCCGCGGGCAGGGAGTATTAAGTGTCAACTAATGATTGGCAGATTCCAAAGCTCGAGTTGATTACACGTGATTAACAAACGGTTACAACGCGAGTTAAAGTATAATATATCCACAGCAAGAGTTAAGGAAGATGTGCTCGAGAATCTTAAAGGTGAAGGAAAATTAGAGCTCCAGTCACTGTAAAGGTTTACAGCCTTGATGGAAGGGCAAATAAAACTGCACAAGATCTGAGAATTTTATTAAGTGACTAGCAGCAACTTGGCGTTTATTCCTATTTCTCTCTCTCTGTAATTTATGAAAAATAAAACTGGTAAATATTAATTTACACTTCAATATGCATTTTTATTAATTTTGACATTACACACAAATATTCATATTCACATTACAAAACTGTTTCATACACGTGTGTAGTGTCATCTCAGAGGACGTGAGCAGCCTTTTCTTGTTGATGAAGTTAATGTTAACAGATAAGCTTGCAGTGGTCGTCCTGGTCCGGCTGAGAACAACCAGACAGTTGTGGTTTGCACCGCATCTGAAGAAACCAAGAGACGGGAATACGATGATCATTAGATATTTGTTTTGGTTATACATGGCGATTTTACAGGGCACAGTACTGGCATAAATTTGGTATTATTTACAAAGCCCTAAAGGAGAGTGCTTATTAAATAAAAATTCTTGCCACCATCAGTATTCATTCCCTGTTATTATCATGGTAAACTAGATGTAATCTGGTCGCAGCATAAACACCACAGTACTGATGGCTATAAAACAAGTGATGCACAACACGTTGCCGTGCACGAAGTCTGCTCTTGCAGGTTAAATTTCCTTGAACTATCTACTAAAAGGTTTGTCAAGCCATTAACGGCTTGACAAAGCTCCTGAAGATAGAAACGTTGCCACAATAAAATGTCCCATTAGTTCCACTTGTGTTCTTTTACTAAACATTTGAAGGCAATTCTACCAACAAATAAAAGCTAATAGAAATGGAAACGCAGTCCTTGTCTGTAGATAGCGAAGAATGCCAGTCCTTCTATTATTATATAATATTCTCTAAGTTGGAATAGAAAGCCAAACTTAAAAGTGGACTGAACTTTTAGCTCAGTCTCTAAATACCAGAAGTGACTAATATTCAGCATCCTCTTCATCAGCTTGCAGACTGCTCGTAAAATGGGCGGTAATTCACGACTTGTCTGGAGTCCCTGTCAGGATTTGGGATAGCCAGGACTTCAGACTGCCATTGTTTGGAGGCACCCTAATTGTTTATATAAAACTAAGTATAATTCAAATGTTAAGAGAGAAAAGGACCTAAATCAAAAGAACCCTAATTTCCATATCCCTAACGGATCACAAGGTTCTTAGATGTTCTCCACAATGGGCAAAAAACAGTCTCCAAGTCACCGACAAGGAATTCTTTACCGACACCTGATGTTTGAAACTGAAGTTACTGACTACCTATTACTATAATCAAAAAGAAGCGCTAAGCCACAAGGGCTATACAGTGCTGCAGGGTAGGAAAGGAAGCGAGGGTATTGGGGGCAGAAGGGGGGGAGGGGCGATCAGTAGGTTACAGAAAACAACGGGGCAGGGGATCAGTGCAGGGTAGAGGGTAGCAAGAGATCGAGGTAGAAAGGGCTGAAGGTATCAGTTTGTGAAGTCAGTTGTCAAAAAGTCAATGAGAGTCCGGATGAAAGGTGGGTCCATCAGCGAGAAGGGAAGGTAAAGAGAGCAGCGGAACGAAGACGACGTTGGAGGTAAATTCAGCGTGCTCGTTGATACGGTGGACAGTAACAGAATGTGGCTGACCGATAATGGAACTTGACAATTCTCACAGAGAGGAGCAGGGCACCTCTCAATGAGATATCCATGAGTAAGACTAGTATGGCCAATGCGGAGACGAGAGAGAGTAGTCTCCCAACCTCGGCACTGGTGACAAGACGGCCAGTAACCTATACTCGGTTAATAGATTGAAGTTTGTTACCGAGTAGGGCAGACCAACGTTGTTGCCAACGGGTGTGAAAGTGGGTAGCTATTGCAGCAAAATAGTCCGTAAATGGAAAACCTCTATATGAAACTGGTAGGTCATGTACTGCTGACCGCGCAGCAGTGTCTGCCTGTTCATTGCCCTGTACGTTCAACATGACCAGGGACCCAACAAAAAACTATTATGCTTGGTAGAATGAGGCATAGCAAAAGTTGGATACGGAGGACTAAGGGGTGAGGTGTATCAAATTTATGTTTAGCCTGTAAGGCACTAAGGGAGTCTGAGAACCACCAATGATGACAGGCAAAGATGCAATACGGATACTTGCTGCAAGAATGGCATAATTCAGCAGTAAAGATACTAGCTGAAGATAGTAAAGGCACTCGTACGATGCTGTCCGGAAAACTGCTTGCGAATCCTATGCTGTCAGTAGACTTAGAGCCATCTGTGTACACTGCAATGGCAAGAGAAAGAGTGGAAGTGGTCAAGAAAAAGAGCGGGAAGCTACCGTAGACAGTTGGGCTTTCGAGCAAGAGTGAGAAAGAACAGACTCGAACAGCTGGAACTTCCCAGGGGTGAAGGGAAAAGCGAGATGCTACATGAACATATAAAGGTGGAAATTGAAGAAAAGACAAGAGCGAATGTAGGTGAAGAGAGAAGGGATGGAGCAAACAGGGGCGGCGAACAAATAAAGAATGTCTACTAATATTGGTGACCATTCTATAAATGGAAGGATTGCGGAGATCATGAAAGCGTTAAAGTAGGGAAGGCAATGGGCATGGCGATCGGATAAGGATGGAACGTTTGCTTCTGCATAGAGGCACTGAACAAGGGAAGAGCGAAAAGCACCAAGGCATAAACGTAATCCTTGGTGATGAAAAAGGTTGAGGCTAGAAAGAGTAGCAGGAGAGGCAGCTGAATAGATCTGGTCTCCATAGTATAGTTTCGATAAAATGAGGGTGGAATGTAGGCGAAGGAGAATTCGATGATCAGCTCCCCATGAAAGATGAGCAAGGGTTTTAAGAAGATTCAGCCGGCTGTGACAAGTTGTCTTCAGAGAGGTAATGTGAGGTTTCCAGGATAACCTACGGTCAAAGAGGAGGCCTAGAAACCTGATTGCATCACGTTCAGGGATAGGGGTGCCATACACGTATAAAGGATGATCGTAGATGACAGAGCGTCTAGTGAAAGTAATTTGGAGAGTTTTGGTACTGGAAAATTTAAACCCATGTGTGGTGGTCCAATTGGAAACACGGTCGACCGCATGCTGGAGAGAAACTAACGAGGTGACAGTCAGCGCCTGCACAGGCAATAGCGAAGTCATCAACAGAGTGATGACCAAATATTGGATGGAAGACTAGAGGCCAAATCATTTATAGCAAGGAAAAAAAAGTGTTGTGCTTAGAACACATCACTGGAGGACACCTTCAGCTTTGATGAAGTCCGGGGAGTACACATTATTAACCATAACACGGAAGTGTCTGTGTTAAAAAGTCCTTGAGGAAGGATGGTAAATTGCCTCGAAGGCCAATGTTGGCTTGGGCCAAAATAATATACCTCCAAGTTGTGTCATATGCCTTCTCAAGGTCAAAAAATATGGCAATAACTGAGTGGTTATTCGCAAATGCAATACGAACATGTGTATCCAAGCATAGTAAGGGGTCTATGGTAGAACTACCCTTACAAAAGCCATATTGAAGAGTGGAGAGACTGTTGTGCCTCTAAATACCACACTAAACGTCTATTTACCAGGTGTTTCATCACTTTGCAAACTGCACTGGAGCAATGGGACGATAGTGGGAGACTTCATGTCCCGTAGTACCCGGTTTGCGGAAAGGGAGAACAATGGCAGATTTCCCCAGCTGTGGAAGAACTCCTTGTGACTAAGTAAGACTTTAAAGGCGTAATAGGACTGCAAGGGCTGACTTATGTAAATGTTGTAGCATACGAACATGAATGTCGTCGGGCCCAGCTGTCGATGACCGGCAAGCTGAGTGTGTTGCCTCCAGTTCCTGAAGTGCAAAAAGCACATTATACTGTTCTTCTCTGAGAGAAGAAAAGCCCAAGGGTGCTAACTCTCTGGCAGACTGAGTTAAAACGAGGGGCATAGATGGAGCCCCTGTGAAATACGGACCAGATGATTGCCAATTTCATTGGCAACTTCTAGTGGGTTTGCTACATCAACACCCGCAACCCGCAGAACAGGGACAGGGTCAGGAGAATATTTACAACTTAGTTTTCGTATTTTTTTCCAGACTGCATTCATGGAGGAAGCAGAGGTGATGGTGGAGACAATCTCGCCAGCAAGTGCGTTTAGCATCACGGATGACACGGCGAGCGATCGCACGCTTCTGCTTAAAATCAAGAAGTTTCTCCGCGGTTCTATTGTACCGGTACCTGCCCACGCAGCGCGTTTCAAACATACTGCACGAGCACAAGCAAGAGACCACCAAGGCACGCATTTCTGAGAATGCCTGCCCAAAGTTTTGGGTATAGAATGAGAAGCTGAAGTTGAAACTGAGGACGAGAAGAGGTGTAAAAGCTCATCAATGGAGGACGAAGAAGGAACCTCACTAAAAACAGTTAGTTGTGAGTAAAGGTTCCAATTTGCCTGATCAAATTGCCAGCGTGGGTTACAAAGAGGTGGTGTATATGAAGGGGAAGTAAGAATGATTGGAAAATGATCGCTGTCATGTAAATCCGGGAGAACAGACCAGGTGATGCCTAATGCGGTGGAGGAAGAGCAGACAGAGATCGATGCAAGAGAGTACGAGTCCGAGGATTAAAATGGATGCGAGTACTTGTATTTAATACATGGAGGGGGTGGGTAGCAAGAAAAGCCTCTAACAATGCCATGGGAATCACAGTGAGACCCCCCCCCCCCAGAGGAAATGATGGGCATTAAAATCACCAAGTAACAGAAGTGGTGGCGGTAATGACGAAACAAGGAAGGAAATATCCGGGATAGATAATGCCCGAGAAGGAGAGAGATACAAAGAACAGAGCGTATCCCACCTATGCAAGTGGATACGGGCTGCTGTGTAATGCAGCGAAGTACCAACAAATAGCTGATGGTACAGAATATCAGTGCATAGAAGAAGGGTACTTTCATTAAAGGTCCCATCAGGAAAAGGTTCTGAAGAATACAATAAATTATAGCCTGAGAAGGGATAGATAATGGCAGACTGTAATTTTGGTTCCTGTAAGCAAACACCAACAGGGGAAAACTGGGAGAGCAACATCTGAAGCACACCCCGATTACCCCTGAGGCCACAAATATTCCACTGTAAATAGGCCATGATTGGCAACGATGAAGATACGTGAAATCCGCAGGTAAGGGTACCTATGGACTAGAAGGGTTAGAAAAGTCCACGTGCGGTGACAAAGGAAAACATTCAAGCAGCGAAGGAATGGTACGTTGTGAAAAGAGTTGCGCAGATGGAGAAGAGGAAAGAGAAGGAACAGAGTGTGGATCATTGTCCATTGACGGTTTGGTCTCTGCAATATATTCAGAGATTGCTTCAAGTGTTTCAGAGTTCAGAGACGTCATA